GTGTCTAGGAAGCCGATCTTTACCCCGAAGTTCGATGGCAAATCCTCCCTCTTCAAGTTGGCAATCCAACGACGAAACGTCCGTGGAGGATCATGAATTCGAAATGTGAAATATTTATCCCCCCCCCCCCCTTTTACCCAATGTATTACAACATCCAACAGGAGTGAGCTATTATTATATTTGGGCAAAAATGGCCATAATAATTTTTTTTTTTAACTGATTTACTCTAAATTTACGAAATCATTGCAGACGTATCAGTTTTAGGTATAGATAATGATCCATTGATCATTCCTCGCTGACCAGACTTATCCTTTAAATATTTACTGAAATAAAATCAAATGTTAAAAGTAGGGATGTCACGATCCAATGTCAATATCAGGCAAAAAAAAAAAAACTGATATCAGATTATATCAGCCTGTCACTCAAATCTCTGATATTAGGATGGTGATAAAAAACACTGCATCTGTCTAAAGCTCATATGACCCATTGGTTGATAATAAATAGGTCAGGTGTTCTTATTGCTCTCTGTTTAAGTAATTTCACCTGATCAAACCGTTGTCTGACATCCCACGCAATAAAATAACTATTAAAGTATGTGTGAGTCATGTTAATATTGGGTCAATATCAGCATCATCTCAGAAATGAAAAAGTCGTGTTAGGAACTCTGTAGTTTAAATACTTTTTAACCTATCACTGTACCAATACTTTCTAGTTATTTTGATATTTTTCTGTTTTGTTTAAAGCAAAACAGACAAAAGATTAATCACCGTGACTGCCTTCCGTAAACACATATTTTGACTGATATGCGTATTTTATTAATCATCAGCATATTTTAGCTCACGCCTCATTGTTTTGCTCATATGGCCTGTAGCAGAGTAAATAAATTACCACATTATTCCGTCTGTCTCACGGTGTGAATGAAGCAAAGTGTCAGGGTGTGTGGAAAAAAAAACTGAGCGGCGAGGGAAATGCTGACTCTTAGCTGGACTTTTTAACTTCCTGTTGCCAGGAAATTCCTTGGGACCGTCTTCTCTTGGAAACTCCAAAGGTCAAACCTGCCTCTCTTTCCGGGAGCCAAAGATCCCAGGAGTTCTGCTTGGAGAGAAACTTTATGGATTGAAGGTCGATTTTGGACGCGAGGGGACGTTTCAAAGCAGGAACGAAAAAAAAAAAGACTTCGACTGCAAGAAGTCAGGATTCAACCTTACAGAAAGTTGTTTTTAGCAAATAGATATATAGCATCACCTCTTGATTAGGTGCATTTTGAAACGTTTAATATTACTTTTGAAAATATTTTTTCTTCTTATTTATCTGAGCTTTTGATCAAGAACTCTTTTAGAGGAGCAGTGGTAATGCTGTCCAGAACCAAAACACAAAGATGAACCCAACAACCAAGACCAGCTCTAAATCTCTGCAAGAGTTCTGGTCTATTTTTTTATTTTATTTAATTTTATTTATTTTTTATTTTTTTTTTTTTGAATAAGGAAGAAAGCCAAACACTGGTTCTCCTAAACTTGGGATTCGGCAATTAACCAGAGCATCCTTCCCAACAACAGAGAGCAGGAACATATGTTAGAGAATAGGAAAACTTGCAACTACTCTGATTACAAAACAGTATTCCTGCTTCAAAGAAAAGACACTTCAAGACTTTTGCACAGCTCCGAGCACCAAATGACTACTTTCATAGAGTCTAAAACAAATAAAAGGCAGCATCATGACCTGCATTGCCTATCAGCTCTACAGGCACACGCAGACAGAAAGCAGAGGCCGTCATTTCTGCTAAAGAGCAGGAACCTGTCAAATCCAATCCTGCATATCTCCATGACATGCAACACAGCCACTAGACTCTGCTGACCCAATAAGCGCTACATGTGTGACCCTTTGACGACGGGTCAAGGCCTCGGCGCTGCCTTTAAAGGCAGAGGAACAGCTAGGAGTGGGAAACGTGCAGACAGATGTCAGTAGGGGAGGAAATAAAGTTTGAGGTCCTTGAAGTAAAAAGGTGCAGCAATCTGTCTGAATATAAGTGTGTTTGATGAAAGAAGCTGGATCTCCTGAGACAGTGACTCAGCCCTGTAATCAAACGCACATCACCATTACAACAACCTATAGACCCTGGCTATGCTGCCTTAGAGAGTGGAGTGGGGAAAAATGGAGGGATCAAACATTTTCAATCCTGACAAAGTGCTGGATCAATCAGGAGAAGAGCAACTTCGCTGCCCTGAAACCCCAGAGAGCCTCATCCTCAACCTGACAGACTCACTAAATATCTGCTGCTGCTGCACAACGCTGAAAGGTCACACAGCCAGGTTTCACCGACTCAATAACAGGACTGTGACCTGCTGACTGGGCTGCAAGCTGCAGGGGAGCACGTTTACGCCGGGATGCACCGAGCCTTTTCACGGTCGGCAGGAGTAAGGGTGGAGCTTTGAGGAGACGAAATGTCGGCCATTGTAATCAGGCTCTTCACTTCAGAGCTCGAGTGTTTTCCTGGGATCTAAATCACCATGAAGGAACAGCAGAAGGATCAAAGATAAGGAGCTCTGAGGATGCAGAGAAAGGAAAAAAAAACCTGAACATTGT